GGGTCATGGGGTCATATGTTTAATTTTAGAGCACCCTCCTACCAACTTCCACAGTGACTCCTATTCTGTCCTACCGTATAGAGCTTCCCATCACAGCCTCACCAACTCTTGCTTTTTTTTTTTTAAATAGTAGTCATCTTTTTCTTTTTTCCCTCCAATTTTCTATGTGAAAAGTCACATTTTATTATTTTTTTTTTGGCAGTACTGAGGTTTGAACTTAGGGCTTCACCCTTTCTAGGCAGGCGCCCTATTGCTTGAGCCACTCTGCCAGCCCTATAATATTCATTTTTTTTTTCTTGGTTTTCACCTAATGTTCTTTTCCTGCATTAAAAATATTAGATATATTCTTTGTACAGAGGGGATTTATTATGACAATCCCAAATAGGCTTATATTGTACATTGGTTAGATCACCCTTACTGTCTCTCCCCTGCGACCTCTCCCCGCCCCACTTAAAGCAATTGCAAGAGGTTTCTTTGTTCTATTTTATGTAAGTATATGAAGTCCATCAACCATATACCCTCACCTTAATCTCCTTCATTCACCCTCCCCCCTCCCACAAGTACCCCCCACCATACCTATTTTACAGTTCTGTCTTTTGTTATTAATATTTAAGTCAATGTTCCAAGGGGTTTCTTAATGTGTTCCTGTGTGAATCTACTTTACTTTGGTCCGTTCAACCCCTTCCATTACTCTCTTACCCCTTCCCTCCCATCCCCATTTTCAGCAGCTTTCAGTATACATCCTTATGTCCTCTGCCTTCACAGATGTTACGTTCTACGATATTGTGGATGCTCTGTCCTTTTCCTTTTCTCCTTCCCCAAGTTGCAGAGTACTTCCACTGTTAGAAACATGTTCTACATCTGAGTTTGTACATGATCATGGTTTTTTTGTTTGTGTATGTGTTTATCTTTTGGATCTATCTTCTACACAGGAGAGCAAACTTGCGGCCTTTGTTTTTCTGAACCTGGCTTATTTCACTTTATATGATGTCCTATAGTTGCATCCATTTACCTTCAAACCACATGTTGTCATTATTCCTTGTGGCTGATAAAACTCCATTGTGTATCTATACCACATTTTCTTGATCTATTCATTAGTGGTAGGGTACCTGGGTTGTTTCCAGAGCTTAACATCAGCTATTGCATCTTATCTGTTGCCTCTCTAACTTCCTCTTGAATCTGTTTAAGCTTATGTTAGTTCCTTATTCTCTGTCTCTTATGTACCCTTTTGAAATTCCCATCCCTTTGCTCATCTGTGCTTTCTTTTGGATCTTTTCTGTGTATTTTGTTTTCAGTTTAATTCTCTCTTCATCCGTATCCAATGCACTTAAAACAAAGTACATCCATTGGGTACTTAATTTGTCTGCCGTTTGGTTCTTTTAAAAATCTGTGTAATTTTAAAAGCCGTCATTTCTTTTCCCTCAATTTTCATCACATTTTATCTTTTTAGACATAGTAAGAGTTGTTATCTGTTCCTGATTATTCTCATATTCAGAATTCAAGTGGGCCTTTGTTTCTGCTAATTTTCAACTATATTACCCTGCATGCAAATTATCTTTGGCTATGTTTTGGACGTTATCTTTCAAATTGTTTTTTTACATAAGTAAATTGAGGGCTAGACTAAGTTGGTGTTCTCTCCACTCAGAACTGATTTGTGTTTTTATCTGCTAGGGCTCCAGGTCACACATGGGCCAAGTTCACCTTCAACAGCTGTCAGGGATTAGGGCTCTTCTGCGTCCCATGGTGTGAAGGCATAGACATTGGGTATCTAGCCCAAGGTATGGGGTTACTCCTCCACACCCTTGGAGGGCTTTCAGTCTAACTTTTGTCCTCTTAGAGGAGCCAAGAGTTTATCAAGTTGATTGCCAATGGCTTAGTGGCCTCTTCCCATCTCTGAATTTTCATTTTATGCATCTTGACCTGATAGTTCTTCTCTGATGCTTGTTTTATATTATAGAAGCATATTTAGTTGTTCTTAGCAGGAATGTTGGGCCTTGTTACTTAGTCGGCCATATTTCCTCCTTTACAAAAGCATCTTTTTAAAGTTTTTAGGATAAAGAAACTTTTGAATCCTGAGAACTCATCTCTTCCAGAGTGGTTCATAACTAGTCAGTAAGGTAGGACTTCACTGCTCCTCTACCATGTACCCAGCATTGTGCTGTATATTAGGGAAATTCTGAGCAAATGGAAAACTCAGTGTTCTTCATACTTCAGGGCTTTCAGCTGGGGAAGCAAACATCAGCACAGGTAATGAGGTAAAATGCTGCTTAGGGCTATGCAGAGTTAGCAGCACAGTGAAGATTAAAGACAGCAAGTGCTGGAGGCATCCTGACTTCACTTGCCTCTACCCTCCAGATCAACTTGCCTGGTGCCACAGGTCCTGGCTAAAGGACCTGGCACTACCCCTTTTTAGCCCCTTCGTGGCTCCCACTGTCTTTGTCCACATGGCTTTGTTTGGGACTGCCCTGCTGCTCCCCATCCCTGCCTGGTTCACTGTGCACAGAGCACCTTGGTGGTGCTCTTCCCTTGGCATGGAGGTTTTTGTTTCTTGTGTGGGAAGCCAGATTTTTCAAAGCACAGCCCCATGCTTTCTCTTGGCACCCATGCTGGGTGCTAATGGCACAGACAGTGATCTGTGATGGGGGCCACACACTTTATGTACACAACTAATGAGGTAGCTGTTATTGGTCCCCCTTTACAAATGAGGAAATGAAGGCTCAGAGAGGCTTCACAGCTAATCTTTCTGGTTTTCTGATCAAGGACTCTCCTCCTGGTGGACTCTTCTCCAGTGGGGAAATGAAAACAGAAGGCTCTGGGTTGTGAAAAGCTGGTGGGTAATTGACTTCCATCCCTGGCCCTGAGTCTCTGCAGTCCCTTGCCTTCTTTCCAAGGCCCAGTTGTTTATCCTGCTCTGTTCTCTTGCTGCCTGTGCCCTTGACCTCCCTTGTCCTGTTTCTCTGGGACTTAGCCATATCTGCCAGTCTTCCCGGTGAACATCATTCAAGAAAAGCTGCAAGGCCACTTCTCCCAGATTGCACAGATATGTTAATCACTCTCCCACCGTAGTCTTGAGTGATTTATGAGGCTGTGGTGGGAACTGAAGGTAGCATTGTTAATTTTTCCATAATGACTACCTCCCCTATTTACAAGCAGTAATGCAGCTGTACAGATACTTAGGATTTCATCAAGGGAAAGTCATTTTCAATTAAATGATGGGCTGCTCCTTTTTAAAACTAAACTTTATTTTTTAGGAGAGTTTTAGATTTACAAAAAAACTGTCAAGGTAGAACAGAGCACCCCCATATGTATGTCCCATGCCCGCTTTTCCTATTATTACACCTAACATTGATCTGGTATATTTGTTACACTTAATGAGCCAGTATTAATAGATTATTATTAATGAATACATATGCATTAGTCAGATTTCCTTAGTTTTTACCTAAGAAAAAATGTCACTTTTTCTGTCCAGGATGTCACATTACATTTAGCTGTCATATCTCTTTTGGTTTCTCTTAGCTGTGATAATTTTTCAGACTTCTTTTGTTTTTAACCTTGACAGTTTCCAGGTCAGGTGTTTTGTAGGAGCCCCACTGTTGGAGTTTCTGTTTTCTTATGATTAGACTGGACTAATGAGCTTTGGAGTATCATGGAGGTAATGTTATGTTTTAATCACATTATATCAAGTGAAAATCACTAGCATGAATTATCATTATTCCTGTTGACCTCGGTCACCTGGCTGAGGTTTGTCAAATTTCTCCACTCTAAAATCCCACTCCCCCCATATAGTACTCTTTGGAAGGAAGACGAAGTGTGAAGCCTAAGTCCTCTTTAGCTTGAAAGTAAAGCCATTATTTTCAAATGTTTTACATCATTACAGAATGTCTTTTCTAAAAATCTGCTTACAAATTAGCCTTGTCTTTATTAAAAAAAAAAAAAAGGTGAAAAACTCATTCCTTTGATATAGCTAAGTAGCCAGTTGTAAGGCCAGTTTATGTATTGTGATGAATGGAGCAATTTTGGATTTCTTGTTTTGAAGCACTGTATTTCATAGCTGAATACCAAAGCCTTTCCTTGCTTTTGAGTTACAGGCACAGGCACTATTGACTGCTGTGCTAATGACTATTCCAATGAAGTTACTGTACCACACAGAAATGGCTCTCTATTTGAAGCTGGAAAATAAAAGCCGGCTGTGTTCATCTAAATTTGCTATATAACTACGTATTCTTAGCGCCACCTAGCGATTCTAGCTACCTGTGGTTTACTATTTTTTTAACTTGTAAAACAGGGAAAAGAGATTTTTTTTCATTTTTCCAAAAATTGCACCAAAGTAAAGCAGAGCTCTAGTTGATGCGAATGTGTTGTGTAGGTGTTAGCAGTACTGTCCTCGCTAAACGCTCATTGGACAGTAACGCAACCCCAAGAAAAGGATGGTTGCTGCCAAGGGTGCGTGCGGTGCAAGCAGGAGGCGCCAATACCAGGTTGGGTTGTGGTGACTAATCCCGGAGTTCCACCCTAGTCTACCCGGTAGCTAGTATCTCCAGTAATCACAGCTCTCGATGCTAACCATCTATCGTTTTTTTTTTTCTTGAGACTTCTGAGGAGCCACATAACAGCGGCTTGTTTTTACCCAGAAGACCACGCGCGCCGTCTGTCCAAAAATTTGCATACGCGCCCCTCTAGGGCGGGGCGGCAGGGGGCGGGACTGCGGCACACTCTTGGAGTTGGCTGGCGCCTCAGGAGTTGCACCGCGCTGTGGCTGCCTTTTCTTTCATTTTGCCTCACGGACTATTTTTTGGTACAACTGTAAACAGCTTTTTCTACAGGAGCATCCTTCCCCTTTTCCCCTTGCTAATCAGTTTTAGCCTTCCCAGTCGGCAGGTGCCCTCCGGGCTCGGGACCACGGAGGCCAGACTTGTAGGGGCGTCTTCCTCCTAGAGAGTGGGCAGGAGCCCTGCTCCCCAGTCGCGCAGTTAACGCGCTCCGGGTGTTTCTCTTTGCAGGTGGTTCTTCTGGGCATGGACATTCTGTCGGCCCTGGTGACTCGGCTGCAGGATCGGTTCAAGGCGCAGATTGGCACAGGTGAGTGCGGAACTGGGTCCTGACTCGCAGCCCTCTGTCACTCTCCTCAGTTCCTCCACCTAAGCTGCCACTCCTGTGGTCCAGTCATGCTTGTCACGCCCCTCCCAACGCCCCCCTTCCCCCCAACCCGGTCAGCTTTCCTTCCCCCTCCCACCTTCCGCAGCTGAGCCTGCATTGCCTCCTCCCTCGCCTTACTGCACCTACTGACATTTTGTCCCCCTCCCCATTCTGCTTGCTTCTAGCCTTCACGTTGTAATACGGAATTGTGTTTTAATATGGTACTGTTCTGATGAAGTATTATTTGCAAAATTAACCATCATCCTTTTGTACCAGCCAAGTCATGTTTGTCCTCAGCCCTTTACTGAGCAACAGTTTTCATGGAGAAGTCCTGCAAAAAATCCAGTTGGATTTTTCCACGGATGATTATTGTTGACATTACTATTTTCACCTTGAATGTTAATGTCACTGCATATATGCAGTGAATACTCAGTTTCTTATTTTGAAGGAAAAGCAATGTCAGCAAAACCACCACAGATTTCATAGATTTGGAGATGGTTTAGACATCAGTAAATTCCCGACTTCTGGTTTTTCACAATAGCAATATAAGCACTGAACATCTCTGTTTATGCAATCATTTCCTTACAGAATTTCTCCATTTCTTTTAGTTCCTATGTGTTGTCCTCTGTAGCCTTCTGGTCAGTGTAACCTTTAAAAAATAATGAACCATAAAAGAAAACTCCCTTTTAGAAATTTCATATTGTAAGTTCCCTTTTTCTCTAAATTAACTGAATTATTCAGGTATGTCTCTTGTAGTAGAGGTTTATGGACTCACATAAAGTCCAGTAAGCTTACCTCTGGCCCCTGGAGCACTCTAGGATGGCTCACACTTCAGTGTGAGGAGCAGGTGTGGAGAGCAGGGCTCCATCTGGTGTGTGTATCTCTGTGTGATGTAAAACAAGAAGCTCACAAGGCCAGTGAAACATGGATTGATCCATAAGCACCCGTCTCCTCCACCCTCCCCCAGCAGATGTGCTGGAGCCCATCACCCTCTTTCTTGTTTTTGTATCCTCCCTTTTCTGCCAAATCCATCCATTTTAATATCTCACCACTTTATATGTCTGGAGCTGACTGGAGAAAGGTGGGGTCAGGAAGGAGACAAATTGTTCATGCAGAGGATTTTGTGGTTACTCTTACGGATTTCAGCAAGAGTAGGGTTGTGAGCAGGATTGGGTGGTTTTAGAATGAGGTCCATGAGTTAGGCCAGGTGACCACAGACTCTCCCATTTGATTAATTTCCATTTTGATTTCCAGTACTGCCAAGTCTAATAGACAGACTGGGAGATGCTAAAGATTCTGTGAGGGAACAAGACCAGACTCTGCTGCTAAAGATCATGGATCAAGCTGCTAATCCCCAGGTATGGCAAAGAGTACTGTGCTACATATTTGCATAGGTGAACATGTTCATAACATTGGATCTGCCACCCAAAATACGATATTTAAGTAAATACGCAGCAAAATGTATCATTTGAATAAAGTGGTAGATCTAACATGGGTTTTGTGCTTGGCTTAATCCATTAAACTTTTTAGCTCATTTATGTGATTAGCTCTTCATTTCTCTGAAAAGAGGCAGCTGTGGTGTCTGGAGAGCCAGGAGGTCTGACCAGAGCTCTGGTCCCTGGCTAGCGAGCTGGGCCTGCTAGAATATACAAACACAGCCTTGCCTTCCAAGGTCCCACTAGTGGACCATTGCTCAGGGTGCAGTTGGACCAGTCAGCAAAAGTCTTCCCAGGGAAAGATAAACTTGCAAGTGTTTGACTTGTGAATAGGGTGGTGAGAGCTGTCCAGGCAGAGAGCAGTGGGGGTGAGTATGTGACCTTTGTAGGTCACCTGCTCTCCTTTGGCCTTAGTTTTCTCTTATAAATCAGTCCTTATAAAATAGGGCCAATTATACCTCCTTTTCCGAGTTGTTGAGAGAACTACAACACATAAATGTACGTGTTTTGAACATTTTAACTTGATCTGTTTGATAAAATAGTATGTGTTGTCATTCTTTAGTACGCTCTTGAAAAGCATTGAGTGAGTCGGTGGAGAACGGGACCAATTTGGCTCCTGCCAAGAGGCTTCTCCTCTGTTGACCTGTTAAGAAGTTTCTATCCTCTTACCTGTTCTTTGCCACTTGCAGTATGTGTGGGACAGAATGCTCGGAGGCTTCAAACACAAGAATTTCCGCACAAGAGAAGGCATCTGTCTTTGCCTTATTGCAACACTCAATGCGTAAGTCTGGGAAGACCCTGGAAGTGTTACTTGGCTGAAGCTTTTGAAAAACCTTTTATTCTGAAGTAATTATGGATTTATAGGCAGTTGCAAAGAAACACCCTGGGAAGTGTGCCCCTCCTCAACCCCAGCAGTTACATTGTATAGCACAGTGTCAACACCAGGAAAACAATACTGTGCAATTCATTGAGCTTATTCAGATTGCTCTGGGTATACTCTTGCCTGCAGTGTATACAACTGTATTGTCTAGTGGGTTCTCTCCCACTGCCCCTCTGAAGCCCCACTTAGCCTGTTGTAACCATTAACCCATACTCCATCTCTATGATTTTGTCATTTTAAGAATGTTATGTAATAGTGCTGGGGGTGTGGCTCAGATGGTAGAGTCCTTGTCTAGCAAGCAGGAATGCTCCAAGTTCAAACCCCAGTACTGCTGGGGAAGAAAAAGAGAATATTATGTTTTATAGATGGATAGATAGCAAGCGTAGGAAACCCATCAAACATTGTTTGGAAATGTGAGGAAAGGAAAGGGTTAAGGGGATAAAATAGAGGGGGTGAACTTCTTTAAATTCACTGTACACATTTATGCCAGCATCACAGTGAAACCCCCCGTACTATTAATATTCTTAATAAAAAGTTATAAAAAAAGAACATTATATAAATGCAGTCATATAGTATACAATCTTTTGAGATGACTTCCTGCCACTCCACCCCCTCCTTGCAAAATATAATTCCTTAGAGTTGCAACATATGTTGGTGATGGTAGCAGTGGTTCACTTTGGTTTTTGTTGAGTGTAATTCCATAATAGAGATGTATCCCAGTTCATTTAACTATCCACATATCAAGGAAAATTTGAGGGAATTTCAGTTTGGGGCTGTTAAAGATGAAGTTGTTACAAACATGCACATGCAAGTTGTTACATAAACAGAGGCTTTCGACTCTCTTTGATCAGCACAAGGGCAATGGCAGGTCATTTGGTAAACCCATTTCTAATTTTAAAGGAAACTGCCAAATATGTTCCAGAGTTTATTGTGCCATTTTATCAGTGTATTTTCAGAGGATGCTTGTGGCAGCAATGCTTGTGGTGGTAGAAGGTGTGGATAACATGAAGGTCCCCAGTAGGGCAGTGTGTAGATGGACACTCTTGCAGGCATTTGGTCACAGTCTTCTTGTGCATCAGCATTAACAAGAGCAGGAACTGTGCCACAGCCTGCAAGGACTTTCCAGTGATAACCCTCAAGGAACTTGCAGTGTGGTTGGGTCCACTGAATTTGGCAGGACAGAAGTGTGACTTGACACAGTAATGCAGAACTAGCATATGTGAAGCAAGCAAGATGGCAAGAGGTGGGTTCTAGGTAAAGGGGCTAGGCCACTGAAGGGTTTTAGCTCTGTGCAAAGAGGCCATTGAGGCACATTTACTTTGGAACCAGATGGATGGCATGGAGAGAACCTTGGAGTAAGGGGTAATAGAGCTCTGGGGAGGGAGAGATAGGGCAGGTGGGGACACAGGCCTCTTTCTTTCCTTTGTTCTCACTAATAACAACATTCTCCCTTTGTTTTCAGCTCTGGAGCACATACTCTAACACTAAGCAAGATTGTGCCACATATATGTAACTTACTTGGAGATCCAAATAGCCAGGTGAGTGAGAAAGAAAATCCTGGGGGAAAAAGTCATTGCTTAAAGACCACTCAGATGCATTCTGGTATTCTGTGCATAGAATACCAGACATACCATAGGTGGTGGGACATACTTGTCATTATAGAACTCTAATTATTGCTTTAGATATCACCAGCAAATGTGGTGGTCACTCTCCCACCTACTATACATAAAGCCGAGAGGTCACTAACCTATAAAATGATGTCATCCAGTCCAGTCTACCAGTAAGACTACTCTGGTCACCCTCTCTGTAGCCACAAGGGGTAGGGATGGAGTTGGGATGAGAATGATTAGAAAAGGGGCCTGAGATGGCTTTTCTGTATTTTGCTTTGGGAGGTGTATATCCTTGTAGAAAGTCTTTGATCTGAACCCTTAAGAATGTGCTTTATGGAAAAAAAGAAAGTACTCCTTCCTTAGCAACTGATAGAAGAGGAGCTGGTCATCTGTACTATGGCCACCAGGCATCACAGTCTCATGGCATCTGCTCTGTGATCATCCATTAGACAGTTGAAGAAGCATTCCAAGCCTGGCCTCCAGGGCTGGCCTAGTTCAGTTCTTTTTCTTGCCCGGTCATTTTTATTACGTCAAACTTGTAGAATGGAAAGTCACTTCATTAGATAGGAAGGCAGAAAATGGGGCAGTAACTTAACAAAAGAAGTAGATGTAGTCAGTAGGCATCTCATTTGAAGTCTTGATTGCTAAATTGCCCTCCAGAGATGTTATGGCAACTCTCCATTAACTGGTTCCAGTCCCTCTGGGTCTGGTCCTTCCTGTTCTCCGTCCCCTATTCTCCATTCATCATCCTTCCTGTCAGTAGCCAGTGCTTCACCTCCTCTCTGGTGTCTCTTGTGGTGCTTGTACCTTTTCTGTCTCCTGTGCTTATCCTCTTTCTCTTACTCAGCCTTCACTGAAGGTGCATGCTGTTAGAAATACAATTCTTGAACATTCTTGATCATTGAATCATACTTTATACTAAATGTTAATTAAAAATTTGACTAAAGTAATTTTTGGATTATTTTGCCTTTATCCCCTACTTTGGTCTTTCTGTTTTTGTTTTCTGTGTTTGAAAGTCCTTATAGAAGTCACACTTTGAGGATGTCACTGCTACCACACGGTACCTCTTAATTAAGCAGAAAAGCTATTTTGGCTAGGTGGGGTTCTTTGTCCCTGATTTAAATGCTTCCATTGGCCAGACAAGTGATGTGGACATTCACATTGGGCCTGTAGGGAGACCTTGGAGCCTAGGAGTGAAAATTGGCCTCCCTAAGTGGACTTGTATTGCGGAGACAGAACAGACTTGAAAGACAGCATGTAGGACTACACTGTGACATTGTTCAGCATCTGGTTTGGGGAGGGGCAGGGATTCCACTGCAGTGTCTTGCCAGGTGTCACCACATGCAGTAGGGTCACCCAGTCCTCCTGTTCTGCCCTTAACTCTTGCCCCCACACCTCCCAAGAGCTTTCCCTCTGGGCTTGCCGCATCAGGACAGATGGAATTTGAAGGAGGGTCGCTAGTATGATGTCACTTGAGCATCATATTGTCAACTAAGGTGGGTGCCGTCCTTCAGAAGGTGTGGAGGGGACAGCTCCATGTAAGCAAAAGTGTGTGTGACAGTGTCCCCAAACTAGATTCTAGGCGGTCTCAGTGGTGTCATCCTAGGTGGCACCTGTTGGGTTTGTCCTGTGTGCACAGCTGAAGTGGAGATGTGAAGGACACATCTTGCTATCCCTGGACCCTCCCCTGATGTGTGTATACTGTGGGATAGTGTCAGCGGTTCCCTGCCTAAAAGGGCACAGATTCCTTGTAGATTTCGAGGGACATTGGAAGTGGACTGTTTTAACATTTAAAGTTTTGAAACAGTCACATTCTGGTCCTTGAAGCTTTTCCAGTGAGTCTCTGAGAATGTCTGATTCTTCCTAGGTTTTCTCTTCTGAAATTTTCTGCTAGGACCTCTCAGTTAGTAGTCTGCCCCACACCAGCACAGAGAAGTTCCCTGAAGACTGTAGCAAGGGTGGAGGGACTGGTCTGTTCTTGTGTTGGGCTGCTTCCAGATACCATTTTTCTCCTTTAGGTCTGGAGCAGGGGTTGACTTGTAAGGTCTCTCCTGGCAAGGTTTTCCTTGTTTTGGAGGTGGTATAGATTAATTTCACGTGGGCAGCACAGTGCCACATTCAGTTGTCTGACTTTAAGAGAGCATTGAGTCTTGACCATAGTGAGTTAATATGAGTGTGTGTACTCAGCTGGCACATCCCAGTGCAATATAGGAAGCCTGCTTAAAAACGTGGCCTGGCATCTCTCCTGCCTTTCCATTTAACAGCCAGCTGACCTTTGTGGGCACTTGGATCTTGAGCCTCAGTTTCCCTGTTAGAACAGCAATAAGTGTCTCAGTCCCCATTCCTTGTGAAAATGCTTTGGAGGGTGACTGTTCTTGCCCCAGGAGTGAGCTGTAGAACTAGGTAGAAGACTGTTAGAAGGGCCACATTGCTTACCAGTGTTCTCGTAGTCTGAGATAATCATTTTCATTTGCCATAATCACAAACTGCCATGTGCCAGTTGGTTTCTATGAAATCTTGGATGTATAATGTTTTAAATAGATGAAAACACCTCATTGTAGAATAATGTCACTTTTTGTGTGTGTGTGTGTAGTACTGGGGTTTGAACTCAGGCTCCGTGCTTGCTAGGTAGGTGCTCTGCTGCTTGAGCCACTCTGCCAGCCCAACATGACTATCTTGAAGTGTACTCATAATATTGGCAGTGGCATACTTATGCCACATATTGAGAACACTATACACAAACCTCTGTATCAAAAAATCAATGTCATTAAATGGTTGGTGCTCCTGAACTGATTATCGGTAGCCATAATAATGCAGCTTAAATGCCAGATAGCTTTAAATGCGGTTGCATCTAGTTGCTGTAGATGCCCATCACAAAGATTGCATAATTTTTCATGAAGATGCAAGGAGATAAAACAATTTTCATATGACTGAAAGTGAGAAACTTTAAAAAAGTATTTGAATGTGTGCTGGAGCTTGAACCCAGGGCCTTGCACATGCCAAGTGCACACTACCATTGAACGCCATGTCAGACCTTACTTGCCTTTAATTTTCCCATTATGCTTTTCTTCAAGTTCCTGACTTTGAGGGTCAGGACTGTACCTTGTTCCTGTTTATAGTCCTAGGCCACCTTATAACTCTTGGAAAGACTTTCCCTTCCTTGGAAAGACTAGAGAGGACTTTTGTGTTTGTTAGTGCTCACCACCCTCAGGTGTCTGGTGGAGGAGTTAGCCTCCAGCCCTTCATTGCCTTGTCACGAGTTTGCAGAGTCCTCTCACAACTTTTAAGGCAATGTCAGCTGGACTTGGTGTTTAAGATGGCTGGGCATGGTGGTGCACATTTGTAATTTCAGCTACACGGGAGGCTTAGGTAGGAGGATTGAGGTCTGAGGCTAGCCCCAGGCAAAATTGTGAGACCCTATCTGGAAAATAAAATTAAAGCAAAAAGGGTTGGGAGTGTGGCTCAAGTGGTATAGAGTGCCTGTCTACACGTGTGGGACTCTGAGTTCAAGACCTATTATAAGTATAAAGAAGTAAAAAATAAGTAAAGTTAAAGAAAGAAAGAGTGAACTCTGTTAATCACTCCAGCCTTAGAGGATACAAATTCATGTTCATAGTGCTCCGAGTACAAAGTAGCTGTCAGGGCAGGCCTCCCAGAAGCTTCTTGGGGGGTCTTCCAGAGATGTACAGTTCTGTGGATCAGGATGCTTTTGTCTGCAAGGAACTCTGTAAGTCACAGTGGACTTTGTCCTCTTAGCTGTCCCTTTGGGCGCAGCACAGGTACAACTGGATGTGCATACACAGGGAAGGCTTAGTTGGGAGCCTGAGCTCCAACTTTCCACATCAAAAGGTTCAAACATGCACAGAAGTGATGAGAGCAACACCACACATTCCATGGACCACTATCCATCTTCAGCTAGTCAGACGGAGCCAGTTTAATTTCATGTTTCCCCTCCCAGGTCCCATTATTTTGAATCAAAATTTAGAATGCTTTAAAGCAAGTCTTAGATACCATTTAATTCCAAGTACCTTAAAAGATAAGGGCTTTTTTCTTCAAAAACAGCCCTGATACCATTGTCACTCCAGTTCCCCATGAATGAGTCATTCTCTCATTCTCAATGTACCAGACAGTGTCCCTTTGTGACAGCTCTTTCTTTCCAAGAGCAGAGCATTCTTACAGGTTCCCTCATGTGGCGTTGTAGACAGTTGCATCCCACCCTGCATGACCAGTCACTGCGAGGGGACCAGGGCTATATGATAGCTGCCTACTAAGGAGAGCAGGCTTCTGTTCCTGAGGTGCGGATTCCAGCTCAGCCCGTGTGCTGACAAAGAGGGCAGGGCAGGGCAGGAGCAAAGGCAGCTAGTACCCAAAGATGCCTGCACTATGAGAGTCCCTGGAGTTAAAGCCCACATTCTGCCTGAAAACCCTAGGGTTCCCAGTCTTGACTCCTCAGCCAGCCTCTGTCCAAAGGGCATCCCCTGCTCATCTTGCTAAGGAGTATGCTGCACACCTTCAAAGGTTATACTGTCTTACTGTTTTGGTGCTCTGCCCAGCCAGGGTGGAGGAGGGAAAAGACAACCCTTTGCCAGGGCCAACAGAGCTCCCACGCCATGTCCTGGCTTGTTGTGCTCCCAGCCCTGTGTTATCATTCACTAAGGTGGCTAGCTGTGGGCTGTGCTAGCCATCTAGGAAGACTGGGAGTTGGGAGGACTTAGATTATCTGTGGTTACAGATTGCCTCCCTGTGCCACAACCCCGGGCTGAAGCCTTCCTGTGAGTACTTAATTCTGAGGAAGCCTTCATGTTGACCCCTTTTGGGATGCAGGAGACTCATGAGAAGAGGGTGATCTTGTGCCCAGAGAGCTGGCAGTACAGAGCCTCACTCTATGTTACCAGCTGTGGCCCCAGAGTAGGGGGCTCACCTTGCTAGCCTTCTCTTCATCCTCTGTGTTCTAGTAAGCAGTGGCCCTGTGAGGAAGGAAGAAAGAACACGGTATGAATTAGAGACCTCGGGTTGTATACAGCATCCAACGTGGGCGGGGCATGTATCTTTCGCTAAGCACTTAATGACTTGAAATTTTGGGATTACTTTCTGTGATGAGCCGAGGCAGCGTGGAACCAGTATGCTCACGAACAATGACACTGTCCCTTCATTCTCTAGTGAATTGCTTTCGCTTAACCTTCTCTTCTCCATTGGAGCATCATACTTTGATGTGCTAAAGAAAATCTGCTCATTTGTATTTCTTCTTTGAGGAGTAGTTTAGATCCTTAAATGCTTTCTGATCCTCTGGCTTTCTAAGCCTGAGGAATGATCAAAGTCTAAGAAAGTTGGCTTAAAATATGTAGAAAATGCTAGCCACTGAGTTGAGTGCTTTATAGACACAAACTATAGGTTGCAAACTGCTGATCTAGACCTGGGTGGGTGTTTGTGTGTGTGTGTATGCATGTATGTGTCTGCAGAATATCCTAATTTTACACTTAGAATTTGGATGACTTTACATTTGGAAGCTCTGGCAATGCTGTACCCACATTCCTGCATGTTCAAGTGGCAGGGACCTGTGTGCCTGGGCTCCCATGTTCCCTCTGCACTCTGCCAGTGGGTTCCCTGCCTGTGCCATGTGTCATCCTATCTGCAGCCTGTCCACTCATTTATCATGTACCACCTGCCCTCTGTAGGCATTTGGTTCATTTTCACCAAGAAAGCACTCAGACATTTGTTGAATATTTCTTCCAACAAATATTTGAATATTTCTTTCAGTATTCAAAATAAGCCTCAACTTATGGAGGAAATTAAAACTAAAAGTTAAAATGTTTTTTCCAAGGTTACACAACTTGTGAATGACCAAGTAGGTTCTTAGGTTCCCTTCTTTGACCTGAAGCTGGTAATTCTTCTACTAAGTCTCTTAACTGTGTATGGCCCAGACTCTTAACATAGTTGGATATTGAATTGCTCTTCGGGGAGACCTGCTAGGATACTAAGCAGATGTATCACTAACCAGGAAATAGAAATAATGCACTTACTTCTGGTCGTCCAGGCACAGTGGCATTGCCTACTTTGTAATATATCCATTTTTCTGTGTGAAAATGTTCCTTAATGTTAGAAACTATTTCTTTTCCAAAATGAACTGATAATCCCTGTTGGTCAGCTCTGGCTGTCACCATGAAATAACAGACTGAATGGGGCACAAACAGCAGAAATCTATTTTCTCATAGTTCTGGAGGCTGGAAGTCTGAGATGAGAGTGCCAACATGGTAGGATTCCAGTTAGGGCCCTCTTGCTGGCTTACCTTCTCACTGTATGCTCATCTGACCTCTTTTTTTTGTGGGTTATATAGCTCTGTAGTACCTCCTGTGAGGTCACCACTCCTGTCATTTCAGGGCCCCACCTACATCACCTCATTTAACCGTAATTACCTCCTTGGAGGCCTCATCTCCACATACATTAACCTTGGGGTTAGGCCTTGCTATAGACTGACACAAATCAGTCTATAGCATAAGGTTTTCAGGGACAAAGTAATATGACCTACTATTTACCTTTTCTACTAGAGAAGGGGAAACTATGAGTAAAGTTACCTGTCAAATGACCCTACTAAATCAAAGGGTAGCCTTCAGTATTCCAAATCATAAACTTGTTTGTATCCCTCCTGTTGTCTCCTTTATGCCATTACTTTGGCATCCCTCCTAGAGACCAAATTTAAAATTATGCTGCCTGACCATCTTTGCCTATTGAATTACTTACACCCTCTTCCCACCAAGAGCACCTGGCCTTTGTTCTATTTTATAGTACAATATTTTTCTTCCTATGTTTTTGTTTGCAAAATTTTAAACTTAAAGAAAAATTGAAAGTGCAGTTTTGTGAACACCGTATTTACCAATTAACATTTTGTCACATTTATTTCGTATCTCTGTACACGTGGACATACATTTGTAGACTGACACATCTTTTTCTGAACTATTTGAAAGTAACATGTAAACATAAGAATTGTATGTCTGGAAACTTCAGTGCGTATCATCTAATAGCAAAAGTGTTTTCTAATATAATCACATGATTTTTTACATCTAAGAACTTTAACATTGATACAGTGATATTGTTTAACATATAATCTATATTTAAATTTCTCCAAGAAAAGAGTCTATCCTGTCACATTAGTCTTATTTCATCCTCCCTCCCTCCCTCTTTCCTCCTTTCCTTCCTGTACAGGGGCTTGAACTCAGGGCCTCTTGCTTGCTAGGCAGATACTCCACCACTTGAGCCACTCTGCCAGCTTCATGCTGCTTTCTTGGTTCATATTTGGGTCTGATCAGAGTGGTGTACCTGCCTTTCCAGAAGCATGCACAGTGTATCTCTACTTTAGTGCCTTTGCACAGTGGCCATCTTGCTTGAACCCTGGTACCTGTCTCATTTCATCTGGACCTAGTGAAATCCTGCCTTACAAGCACATTTCAGGAGGTACCTTCCTCTTCCATAGTGTTTCTTCTTTACTTTCTCCTTCCCCCTCTTTCCCATCTCCTTTGCTTATTCACACCACCTTCCAAGAGACAGAACTTTCTCCTCTTCTATTCTAGGCCTTTTATTGTCTCTCACCTGCTGTTGGATTCTCCCCTTGTTCCCTCCCTCTTGCCTCACTCCCTATAATCTGTCTCCCACAAAGCCAGCACTGCAAAGCATACATCTGAGCAGAATTTACATTTGTCTATTGAATGTGAAATTTTTTACTATAAGTTCTTTAAAAAAAATTATTGCCTGCTATGTACTAGTCCCTGGGTTCCATCCCTAATGCTAAAAAATTAATTAATTTAAAAAACCATGCTGGCATTACCAAATTGCTTAATGCTTAAAGGTGTCATTCATTCATTTGGGTTTCTAAACATACAAATTGGCAATTCTCGGAAAACTTGTAACTTTCCTCAGTATCTCCACTAAGGAGCACACTTCCCTCGCCTGTGGGTACACAGGCTGAGTCTGAGCAGGAAAGGAAGATTGGCCCAATTGTGGATAAACAAAAAGTGCCCGCAGGGTTTCTACTAGCAAGTAAATTCTGGCCAGGTTCAGATGATTCAAATCTGGAAAGAAAGTCACAGGAGGACCATTAGATCTTTAAAGAAAGAAGGGCAGGGTCAGGGTGAGGAGGGAACATGACGAGGGCTCCCACCCAAGGTGCCCTCTCTATGGGGTAAGCCTGGGGCATTTCTTCCCTGTAGCACTGCCCAAGCTCCTTAGCTCTAGCTCTTTTGTTCCAGGGCCAAAAGGAGTAAACAGGGTCTTTCCAGGTGGGCTAGGATTCCCTGTGGAACTGATTCACATACACACCTCCTCCTCGCATCCCACTCCCCTGCCATAATCTTTGGAAAAATGATCTGAAAGTTCTGGTTTTCAGGAGTGGAAAGAACTAAGGGATATGAACATTAATGTAGGTAGAGGGTGGTGGGAACCTATGCCTTAGACCCTTTGGGATTGTGTCAGCAAATAAAAACTTCCAGATGTGACTTTACCTAGTCCAATGTGTATAAGAGACATTATTCACAGTTGGGCTGGTAAATGGTGGTAATTTGGGGTGGCGTATGGCCTGTTGTGTCCCAAGTGCTGGGGAATGACACAGAGCAGTTGTAAGATCTCTTCTTTTATATCTAGGTTCGAGATGCAGCAATAAACAGCTTAGTGGAAATTTACAGACATGTAGGAGAACGTGTGAGGGCAGATCTCAGTAAAAAAGGATTGCCACAGTCCCGGTGAGTTCACATTCTTCCTTTTTTTTCCTGTTCTTTCCCAGGTATCATCTTTTTTTAATGTGGTAATTTTATTTTACAAATACATGCTTAGAGGGTTGGTGATTGGAGATCTTGTCTACATCACACTTCTGGGTCCCCTTCTGTTTCACTCCCTCAAAAGTAAGACTTTCTCATCCAGACCTCTGGTCTGGTTTCATACCATGTTTTAGAAGCACTTTTAAAAACAGTTGGTGTTGAAATGTTCAGCACTCAAAAAGTAGGATTTCTGTGTATCTACATCTTGTTTGTGCACAGCATTTAGGATAGTATGTGCATAGAATATACTTGTTTGAATGAATGAGTCCTTCCCCGAGTGTGTGTGTGGCTAGAAATAACATAAATAATAGTTGTGAAAACGTCTTTGAAGTGTTGTTTTTCTGTTCAATCACGTCACTTTTAATGTGTAGAAGCCAATGCCCAGGAACCAGTGTCTTGTCAGACCCAAGACAGCTTGAGTCTGCAGTGATTCTTTCTTAGTCAGAATTTAAAAAATAATGTAACAATAGGATAGCAATCATTTTATCAATGGCAGAGAAACTAATTACCAAATGAATTATAAACATATGGCTCCATGTCATTCTTTGAAGGGAATAGCAATGTGAAATTGCTAGGTGTCAGAACAGGAGTGTTCTCCCAGAGCAGCTTGTCTGAGCCACACAAGCTGTGTCCAGAAGAACTGAAGAGGCCTAGAGACACGGAGAGAGATTGATTTCACTGCTAGTCAGAGTCAGAGCCAAGACTGAACCCTGTTCCTCTGACCTGCCTTTTAAATTTCTCTACCCTGTTTCAGGTACAGTTATAGAGTTACATTTGGTTATGGGACAGAATACTGAAATAGTATATAGACATCTTCTCTCCTGCTGTTTGTTAGGCAGATGTGACAGAAGTGGGTAGCAGACCCCAAAGCAGGAGTTCTGTGAGCAGGCGAGTGGGGCGGTGTGTCCTTGTTGAGAATCATACCTGACCCCAGTGGCTCCTGTGCTGTGCACAAGGTAATTAGATGGGAACAAAACTGCTCTTTATTTAACAAAAAGATAATCTATGAGGATAGAGTTGAGCATCCCTAATCTAGAAGCCCGAAAGGCAGGGGTTGCGGATTTGGCTCAGCCTCCAGTACCTGGGGCAGGAGGAGGGAAGAGTAAAAACCTGAAATGTTTCAAAATTTGAAAGTTTTGGTCAGCTGGTAAAGTCTATGCAGATCTTACAAAATCCAGTAAAACTGAGGCACTGCTGAAGTCCCGTGAGTCCTCTCAACAAACCATTAAGCCAGAGGTGAGTTTAATGGGTTATTCTGGTGAGGCCCCTGAGGTGTTGATTGCAGAGTTGGGGTTGAAGCCACTTTTCCAGCCTCCCTGTCACCTCCCTCCCTCCCTCCCTCCCTCCCTCCCTCCCTGCCTCCCTCCCTCCCTCCTCCTCTCCCCCCCCCCCTTTCTCTCTTTTCAGTGTTGAAAGGAATCTGCAGAGGGGCTTGGACCTTTGAATAGGAATGAAAGTGTGAAAGTTTCTGCTCTCATGTTGCGTAAAATCCTTCCCCAAAATTGTGGACCACAATGGAGAGGGTGGTGTTAGGGATATAGGCCACCCTCTTTACTGCTGTAAGCTCTGGCTATCTGGAGAACTTGGCTGCTCCTCAGGAACCATACTCCAGTGAAAGAAGCTGATACTGCGTGTTTTTTTATATTTATTACAAGATAGTATCAAAGATCTATCTTCTGAGGGTCAGAGGTCTGGTTGCCACCATTATTTTGTTGGGGATGTACCCAAGTAAGATGAAACTTTTAAATTATCGTATCATTGTTCAGAAAACTTAGTGCCTCCTCTATGAGACTGACTGGATATCTTGAATATTTTAGACCTCTTATCTCACTATGGATTTATCTACTATTTTATGAGTATAATGGGGTTTTCAGTTGAGCAAGATTCCATAGAACTAAGAAAATATTTTAGAATTTGCTTAATGTTTCCCAAAACTTGGATTTAGTTCTGCAATAAAAATGTTGTCTTAAGAATTTGTTCAATGAAAGAGTACTATGTTTGAGAACAAGATTAATTGTATCTCTAAGAAATATATGGCGAAAAAGAATGTCATCTGAATGACTTAACGATTGTAGTGATCTCATTGAGCAGCAGTTTTTATCATCTGTTTCACAGTAGGGAAAGAGACCTTCAGGTTAAACAGCTTTTCTTTGGAGGAGTTGGAGGAGAGTTTTGGGCCATGTATTAAGTTGTTAATGAAGTCTTGTCTCATCTGATGGCTGAAACCATCTTGAACCAGATCATAAGGTAGACATACTCAACAAAATCTTCATGTTGGAGGGGCTCTATGACATGAGTCTCAAATAGTTGAGCCGTGAGCTCTATTAGTAGACTATTTGACCATTTACATGTTTTACATGCCCTGTTTTCATAGTTGGTATACATGGAAATGTTCAGAAAGTAAGCATATACTTAACTTTCAGCTATCTAAGTATGTTGATAAAGCTATATGGTATTTTGTAAGGCATGATCCTGTTACTTCTTGTGACTTACTTTTGTAGACATGTGCTTTCAGCATGCTTTGACATTTGCTGTCCCTCAGAGACATCCAGAAAGTAATTCAGTCAACATTCTATATTTTAAAGTGCAAAGCTTTGGAAAGAAATCAAGTCACTATTCAGTTTCTTTTGGGAGTCTCTTTTGGAACCAGGCTTCTAAACAACAGTGGCTTTAAAATTGAGGATAATTTAACTTCTAGACATGTTATCTGATGCATGGTAATTATTTAGTAAACATACCTTGTGAACCTACATGTTTGAACAGCTCTCTTGTATTTCTATTTCATTTAAAAATTTATAAACTTTCACTATTACTGCTTAATGATTGCACTGGAAAGGGAAATTGGAAATTTTATTTTTAACATGACAAAACTTTAGTGTTAGAACTCATGGCAAAAGCAAATGAGAAATTTCCCTGGGATATCCCCTCTCATGATTAATTTTATTTTTTGTCATAGTCATTTATATGTAGGGATTTATAAATAGCTTTAAAAAGAGGCAATGTCTTACCCCTTCTGCCATTTTCTAGTCTCAGAGGCAAATACAGTTAACTGTTTTCATGGATTCTTTTGTTTTTACTGTCCCTAGTAAATATGAATTGCTATTTTATAAAATATTTTTTAACCACTGTAAGAATTTTAGTTCTTATTATGTTCTACTAATATTCTTCATGTATACTTTGCCATCTCTTCATGTACCAAATGTAGTCATATTTTAATTTTGTTTAGAATAAAGTTCTTACATTGTTACTATATATGGTGTTCTAGCTTACTATCAATATTTGGTAAACTATGGTTACTTTCTGCTTCTCCTAGACTTTTGTTTTTCCTCGAGTTAATGATTACCTAAGTCTTCCTTGAGCCTTCTGTTTCTGTCTGGACTGACTGGCTTCAGGGTCTCTTGCAAACTCATATTCTGATGCGTCTGCATTCATTTTGCTTCTTTCTGCAGGTGCATTCTTGTAGATCAGGTCTTCTTTTTGGTTTTACTTTCTCATTTCTAATTGTGTGTATCTTCTAATTGCTTCCTGAGAAGAGGTCTGGAGAAGGCAAAATTTTTGCATCTAAGTTTGTCAGGTTGTGAAAATTTAGGTTGGAAATTATTTCCTTTCAGAGTGTTGAAGCCAATACCCCATATCATGTTTCATCTTTAAGTGTTTATATTGAGAAGTCAAAAGTGTTTCTGATTCTTCATACTGTGTAGAAAACTTTGATTTTCCCTGGAAGGCTTGAGCATCTTGTCTTTGTCCCTAGTGTTTGTCTGGTACTTTATGCTGTTATGGATCTTGTGGAACACTTTTCTTTTGTTATGCTGGGCATTTCAGCCTAGAATCTTGTGTCATTCAGATCTAGGCAAGTGTTGCTAAAACTGTTTATACATATATTTATATTACCAACCATTTGGAATAATCTTCTGATTTTCTTATTTTTTTCTCTCCCATTTATATCATCTCAGTTTTGTTTTGTCTTTTGGGAGATTTTTCTCAAGCTTTATCTTCCAACCATTTTATTGAGTATTTAATTTTTTTTTTAACAAATGGTACATCCAATTTTTTATTAAAAAATTGAAGTTTTGTTGAGTTCTTAGCATTAGTAGTTATAGTGAAATTTTAATAATTGTCTTCCCAACATTAAGATTTGTTGTAGCCATTTTCAGGGACCTTAATGACTTTGATTGTCCTCAAGGCTCCTACCATGGCATTACTATTGCCAGCTTTGTCTAAATTTCTGCAGAAACACATTCAGATAAGCAGATTCACTGGTTGACTTGTGTATTTGATTGTTAAAATCGACTTTCTTGTTCTAGCTTTAAAATCGCTAATTTAAGATCTCTTTTTTGTTCACCTTTTTATAGCTCTGAAGAAAACAAAACCAAGGATAATTCCTTGTTTTTCCTTATAAGAACTTTCTTGAAATGTAGTTCACATGCTATAATTCTCTTTTTAATGAACAATGCAGTGATTTTCAGTTTTAGAGCTCTTGTCTTCTTTAGACCTTTTTCACCATCTGATAAAGAAACCTTATGCCCATTTGCAGTAATTCTCCATCTCTCTTCTTCCAGCTCCTAGCAACAGGAGCCCCACTTTGTGGTATTTTTATTTATTTATATTTTGCAGTACTGGCTATTGAACTCGGGGCCTTGGCTCTCTACCATTTTTTTTTTTAAATCACATTATTGTTGTATTGGAGATACATTGTGACATTTACAAAAGTTCTTACGATATATCATGGTTGAATTTACCCCTTCTATCATTGTCCTTTGTCCCCCCTCCCCTGATTCTTAGAGTAGTTTCAACAGGTTTCATTTTTCCATTTTCATACATGAGTACATGGTATTTCCACCATATTTACCCTCCTACACTCTTTCCTTATATCCTTCTCTTCTCAGAGCCATACCACCAGCCATTTTTTGTGGATAGGGTCTCAC